AAATGTGACTCTGGAGCACAAAACCAGTCATAAGGGTCGATTCTTTTCTGGAATATGAATACATAATCTTTCCATTGATGTATGGTTTGTTAGGATAGGACAATATTTGGTCGAGATACAACTATTTGAAAATCTGGAATCTGAGGGTGCTAAAAAATCTAAATATTGAGAAAATCAATTTTAAAGTTGTCCAAATGAAGTTCTTAGCTATGCATATTACTAATCAAAAATTAAGTTTTGATATATTTATGGTAGGAAATTTACTAAATATCTTCATGGAACATGATCTTTAATTAATATCCTAATGATTTTTGGCATAAAAGAAAAATGTATAATTTTGACCCATACAATGTATTGTTGGCTATTGCTACAAATATACCCCAGCGACTTAACACTGCTTTTGTGCTCCAGGCTCAAATATGCACTATATTACATGTTCGTTACATTTTTTCTTAACCTGTTAGTGTTGTCTTTATTATTTAATGGATGTTGGTTTTAAACTAGTTTTTATTACTAATTATATTCATAATTATATCATTGAAAAGTTGAGATAAAATGCCTCATGCGCAGCTTAAACTCAGTTTTTATTTTAGTGTTGATTATTAAATAAACTTGATTGAATTTATTGATTGATTTTTATAATAAGCATCCGTTTCGGTTTCAGTTTTTGGCTGAATGGAAACTTTAATTTCGGATTTAAATGTTTATATTTCAACAATGATTTGGAGTAGAACATAATTATGTCATGAAAAAGTATAAAAACAATTTAAATGTTTGTATACAACTCGGGTTTTATTTGAGTGTTGATTATTAAATAAATGAGATTAATTGATTATTAAATAAGCATCATTTTCAGTTTCAGTTTTTGGCTAAATGAAAATTTTATTTTCTGTTTTGGTAAAAAAAATAATTTCGAAAGAAATTTCTGCATTAAAAATGTATGGTTTTGGACGAAATATTTATAGCTAGAAAAAATAAATATTCTGTTAAATATATGCACTCTGTTACATATTCTTTATGTTTGTACTTAACCAGATGTCTTCATCTGTCATGAAAACAGATTTTTTTATAAAACAGATAGTTCCTGTCCTTGATTCTGATTGGCTGAGCCGCGTTCGAAGCTGTTGTAAATTACTCTACAAAGTAACATACACCTTTGTTTACGTTTGTGTGTTGCTCGGCAACCACTTTGTTGCAACCACAACTGTTTCTGAGGAGCTACATTGTTTGGTGGAAGAATACTGTTTTTATTAATATCATTACACTTTATTTGCTCTGTTGGCAAATAACCGTTTACCGTGGAATAACCGTTTTATAAAAGCAATAAGCCCCGTGAAGCCGTGGTTTAGTGAATTTATAACAGCTAAGGGGGTTTTAGGCACTCCACAATGCCCCTTAGCTGTTATAAATTCACTGTAAACCACGGCTTCACGGGGCTTATTGCTTTAATATTTCAACAGCAAATTGGAATAAAAACCGTTTTTATTTTGTGTGTTGATTATTAAATACATTTAAATTAATTGGTTTTTGACTAAATGAAAGCTTTAATTTCAGTTTCCGTAATAATACATAAATAATGTTAATGCATCATTAATGGAGCACAATGTAGAAACACTGACTGGAGTGTCTGGCCCCGTATAGATGTAGCACTGCCCTCCTCAACAGCTCTTTGTTACCCAGCAGCCATCGGTCCATCTGATGCCCCTCGAAATATGTTACACATGGCAGCAGAAAGCAAAGTAGTGCTGGAGGAAATCTGGCGTCGGGCCACCGATTCAGACACGCTCACAATAGCTGCAGTCTTTGCCATTCATACAGCATGGATACCAGCACAAAGCCAAAGTCACATTTTATGGGACATCTCAATATCTAGTTTATCCACAAACACATCATCAGTATGCAAGTCATATGTGGCCTCTTAACCAGACGCTCCGGCTCGGGTTTCCTCGCTCAGCGGCTCTTGAAACGGGATTCACTGTAGCTGCGACCCGCGATGAGTGCAGATGAAAGGCTAACATCAACACCGCATCTTCACTCAGAACACACGTGGGAGATGATTGACAGGTGATTAATGAAGGCGACTGAAAAGGAAAGAACGATTATAAAATAAAGCAATAAGAAGCCGTGGTTTACAGTGAATTTATAACGGCTAAGGGGCGTTGTTAGGCACTCCGCTAAAACCCCCTTAGCTGTTATAAATTCACTGTAAACCACGGCTTCACGGGGATTATTGCTTTTATAAAACGGTTATTCCATATACGTAGTAAGGTTTCACAAAATAAAACAGAGCAAATAAAGTGTAATGATATTAATAAAAACAGTATTCTTCCACCAAACAATGTAGCTCCTCAGAATCAGTTGTGGTTGCAACAAAGTGGTTGCCGAGCAACAGACAAACGTAAACAAAGGTGTATGTTACTTTGTAGAGTCATTTACAACAGCTTCGAACGCGGCTCGGCCAATCAGAATCAAGGACCGGAACTCTCCGTTTTATAACCAGAATTTGACCAGGAATGTGTATTACGAAAGTCAATTCAATTCGAGGACCATCTCACACCCAGATCTGAGCAGTATTTAAGCAGTTATCTTGAAATGGCTTCATTTTCATTGTTCATTAGTTGTCTGCATCAAGAATGCTAACTATAGCCATAAACTTTTAAAAATCGCTCTAAAGGCCCATTCATAACTGGACAATAACTCGTTCCAATTCTATAAGAATCCATCCTGCTTTAAAGAGCTCAACTATTTAAAGAGTAGCAGAGAACAAAACTGTGCGCGCTTTTAATAAACAGAACGTTATCATTCGCTAATATTGGAACAGTATCGTTAGAATCACTTTCAGAGCATTTTTTATAGCTAAAGACCAGTAAAAACAGTGACAGCCAATCAGAATCCATCCGGCTTTAAAGAGTTACAGCATTTAAAGCGGCAGAAAACAAAACTGCGTGCTTATAATAAACAGAACGTTATCGTCCACTATTATAGTTATCGTTATCGTTCTCAGGAGGAACAATGCCGTTGGAATCACTTTCAGGGCGTTTTTTTTTTCTGGTTTAAGAATGATAAAAACATTGACAGCCAATCAGAATCCAACTGACTTTAAAGTGCGCACTGCAATTATGTTGACAGAACGTAACTGTAGTGCGCAGTTTATTATTATTTTGTTATTATTTCTTATAATAAACAAAATGTTATCGTCTGTTGGTGTGGATGCTAATTAATTATCGTTGTAGTTATCGTTCTAGCGTGAACGAGTCAAAATTCCAAGAGAATAGTGAAGTCCACAGTACAACTATACCGATAACGACACGAAACGAAATCGTTGGAATCATTTTCTGAGCGTTTTTATTCCAGCAGATGAACGACAAAATCATTGACAGTCAATCAGAATCAAGTGTGCACTGCAATTATGTTGACAGAACGCAATTGCAGCGCGCTTAGAATAAATAGAACATTATCGTCAATTGGTGTGGATGCGAATATAGTTATCGTAATAGTTAAATTTATAGTTATCGTTCTTGAAAGGAACGATACCGCTGAAATCGCTTTCAATGATACACGATAAAAACATTGACAGCCAATCAGAATCAATCCTGCTTTAAAGTGCGCACTGCAATTATGTTGACAGAACGTAACTGTAGTGCGTAGTTTATTACTATTTTGTTTATTTATTTTAACTATACCGATAACGACACGAAACGAGTGTTTTTATTACAGCAGATGAGCGATAAAATCATTGACAGTCAATCAGAATCAAGTGCGCACTACAATTATGTTGATAGAATGCAACTGCAGCGCGCTTAGAATAAACAGAACATTATCGCCAATTGTCAATTATCGTAATAGTTATTATTTATAGTTATCGTTCTTGGAAGGAACGATACCACTCGCTTTCAACAATACACAAAAAAAAAACATTAACAGCCAATCACAATCCAACTGACTTTAAAGTGCGCACTGCAATTATGTTGACAGCGTAACTGCAGTGCGCACGCACTTATAATAAACTAAATTATATCGTTTATCGGTATGGATGCGAAAATAGTTATCTGAATATTTATAGTAAGGAAGGAACTCTATTATTGGAAGTGTGTAGACTACGTAACAGACAGAACCTTATCCTTCGTTGGTGTGGATGCAAATATAGCTATCATTACCGTTATATTTTTCGTTCTTAGCGTGAACGGATCTTAAGTCTTTTTTATTCAGCTAATGGACTCACAGACTGCGGTTTGAGCAGCACCGCACTCAGTCTTAATAGTATTCTGCTGGTTTCTACCATTTTCCAGGGCAGCTGTGCTGCTGTGATTCAGATGTATTACTGCGGTGGTCCTGAACTCATCATCTCCATCATTCACCCACCTTCAGAAACACCATTAACCCATCCGATTAACTCTGTTACTGGGAATATCTAGCCTCCTGTTTGTTTTTCCAGTATGGCAGAAGAAAAGGAACAGTGTGAAAAACAGCATCAGCGTTCTGGCGCGTTTGTTGCCATGGATACCGCGAACTCTTTCTTCGCTCGGGTACCAGAGAACTTTCCGCTTGAGTCAAAGCGCGCAGTGACGCACTTGACTTTTGATTGCTTCTATTTGATCTTCTGTTCCTGTGCAGCTACAACGCCACGAAAACGAATCCAATGGGAAACGAAGCGCGTTACATAATGCAAGGACCATACTGTCATCAAACGCGTGCATTATGAATAACTCATGCTATCGCACACACACACACACACACACACACACACACGCTTCTTACCGATGTCGGAGTGGCAGTACGCGTCCTGTGGATGCGACATCGCGCATGAACACGCGTCCGACGCCTGGTACATCAGACAGACGAGAGAGAACAGGAGGAACGCGAGCACAACACAAGACTTCATTCTGAAGGGAACGCGGAGCTGTCAGACTGGAACCTGCACACTGCTCTAGAGCGCTCACGACGCCAAGTACATATAGTGCGCCCGCACATGGAGCGTCACGGGCGAGCGACCAATCACAGCGCGCGCCGATTAACATTACAGGCGCATGACGTAATGGAAGTGACCTCATAATGATGTTTTTTTTTTAGGTTTGCTTGAGCAGACGCGCGTTTCCACGATGAGGCAGCAGATCGAGGCGGAAAATTGAGTCTTTGTGGAAAGAGCGCATGAATAACATGTTACGACACTGTGGCTTTAGGGCTAAATTCATCAAAACCCACCCTCAAAAGAATCTCAGTGACTTTTCAGTTCATCTGCAACACCAGTCTAAAGTTTCTTTGTCATTAGTGCGGAAAATAGGAATAATAAAGGAACGCAAATCGAAGTCATGGAATTATGTACAGTAGAAACTATAAACAAATACATGTCCCATATGGCAGAAAATATATATTTTAAATATATGTTGTAAACCGTGCAACTCAATGAAATATATTTTTGAAATTGAAAATATGTTTACCGTCAATCTTCATATACCAAATATATATTTCAGGGGCAAGAAAATATTATGGACATAAAAAAAAACGTTTTTCTATAAATGTGACTTCTTTTTTTTTGTTTTTGTTATAGACAATATATATATATATATATACAGTACTGTGCAAAAGTCTTTTCATTAGGCCACATATATATATATGAGTTTAATTTAGATTAATTTTGTTTTCAGTTGCTTTAGTTTTTATGTTTATTTTTCACTGATGATGAATGCTGTTTTTAAGATCGTATGAGTCTGCTGATGTACATACTCTTTCGCTTCGCTCGTGTTTTCCTTGTGGTTTGTATTAAATTAACATTGCATGATGACTTGTTTAATAGTAGACACCCAGTGCAAGTATTTCATCATTTTACAGAAATTTTAATGCGATTATGTGAGATTGCGTCTGGCTTTCCAGACTGAACGTTGTGCTCGATTCAGTTCCTCAGAGTCTCTGTGATGGAAAACTACAGCAGACTGCTGTGCAAGTGCAGATCTGTGTTCTGATGGCGTTGTTGTTGGTCAGAAGTGCCAGTGTAAGCCCAGTACACAATCCCATAATCCTCCAGTGCGGCTCTGAACTCATGAAGTGGAGATATCGCGGGCTGAAGGGGTTGTGTAAGGAAAGCAGCACATCTGAGCCATCGGTCACTGCAGCTGAATCACACTCTCAGAAAAAAAGGTACAAAAGTTGTCACAGCGGGGTCAGCAGAGCTCATTAACATTTAAAGTAAAATGCTCCAAAACGGCTTGATCTGAAAAGAGTTGTTTTTGACGGTAAAAAAGGTGTTTTTTACACTACCATTGAGAAATCTTAACCAAACTATGTTACAGACTTTTCATTAAGACCCTAAAGAATCATATCAACTTGTGGAAAATGGGCATCATATGACCTCTTTAAAGGTACATTTTAGCACCTAAAGTGTACATATGATATTAGTACCTAAAAGGTATAAAAGTGTACCTTTTGAAAAGGTACCGCCCCGGTGACAACTTTTGTACCTTTTTTTCTGAGAGTGCATGATGAGAATCATTTTAGTGTAAAAAATGGATATGCAAAAGTCCAAAGATATGAAACATACCGTCTCAAATGTCTCTGTGTGTTAGTCACGTCCATGCAAATGAGCGTTCATGAACATGAGATATAGTGTGACTGTGTTTTAGCACATGAGCATCTGAATGATGCTCTTCAATGCACAGAGCTGCTATAGTGTTTATTAATATTTTGAATTCAATTTTATATTAATATTTTATAGTTTTTGTTTTATAGTGTTTAATTGTGTTATTCTTAGTAATTTTGTTGTGCTTGTCATTTTTTATTTGCTTAATATTAATATTTATTAATATTTGGATTAGTTTTTATTTTTATATTTTCTGTTTTCATTTTAAAGTTGTAGTAATTTTGTTGTGTGTTTTTGTAATTTTATATATATTTTTCTTTTTAATATGCCTGTATAGTTTCTATTAATATTTGAATTTGCTTTTATTTGTGTGTTTTCTGTTTTCATGTTAGTTTTAGTAATTTTGTTGTGCTTGTCATTTTTTATTTTCTTATTATTAATATTTATTATTATTTTTATTAGTTTTTATTTTTACATTTTCTGTTTTCATTTTAAAGTTGTAGTAATTTTGTTGTGTGTTTTTGTAATTTTATATATATTTTTCTTTTTAAATATACCTATATATATATATATACTGTATATATATTTCCATTTTATTAATATTTCAGCTTTAGTTTTATTTATTTTAGTACATCAAGTTAAAATGAAAATGAGAAATTGGCAACTAGCTGAAATAAACGTTTTTTATATTTTACTTTATTTCATGTAACAAAAATGTTTTAGTAACACTTTACTTGAAGCCTTTATAAATTATGCATTATAAAAGTATTTTTAATGCATTAATTATGCACCTTATAATGCATTATATGATGAAAATGAATAATTATAATACTATATAATGCAATTTCAGATGTACTGTAACAAGGAATATGAAAATATTATAATGCATTTTAACTGTTTACAGTTACTTATGAAAATATATAATGCATTACAACATACAGTATGAACTCTTTTATAATGCATTATACATAAAGGCTTCAAGTAAAGTGTGTTTTTTTATGCTCTTATTTTGAACTATAATAGCTCTGGCACAGAGCTTCAGTTTCAGAACATATTTAACTATAAGCGTTTTTCCATTTCTGCTCATTAGATCAAAATAAGCATAATTTTAATGTGAAACAGGAACATTTTCATCAGTTTAATGTCCATTTTGGTCCGTCTGAATCTAGACGTCTCCGGGGAATAAACAGGAAGAGCTGAGATGAATCTGAACAGAATATGAAGATGTGGGAATATATGGAGTGTGAGGTGTGACGGGGATCTAATGTGTGTGTCTATAAATGTCCATGACTCAGAGGAAATGCCTGTGTTTTTATAGAGGTGCGGATCCCTGAGTCCAGCGGGGTCTCCGAGCGGATGACCCAGAACAGTTCAGCAAACTCTTTTATCTGGCACATACTCTATAGTGTCCATAAATAGGCAGATGTTCTTGAAGATCGTACAGAAGCTGGCTTTGGGTTTCCTGTAAATGAGGTAGTTTTGCATTAAAGTAGTGCGTGTGACTCAGCGGTCTGGTCCGGGTCAGAGGTCAGAGGTCATGTGTGTCAGCGCTGGTGGGTGGAGGAAGCTGGAGGCGGAGCCTCTGCAGGGACTCCAGCTATAAACACACACACACACTGATGAGAACATGCTCTCATACACACCACTTTCCTCTCAGACGGACTTCACAGTGCAGTTTAGTTTAGAGTTTAATTAGTCCCCCTCAGTCACGACCAGCGGCGTCGCTATTAGTAAAATTTAATATTACTGATGAATCCATGTTCTCACAACGTTTTTTTAAAAGTTCTATAAATGTTTGGTCGACATGTTGTTTATGGAACGTTCTTGTAACGTTATTAATATTTTATATGCTGTATGTTCTCATAACGTTGAGAGAAAACGTTCTGATATCAATATTCTCGCAACGTCCTTATGATGTTATGTGTACTTGATGAACGTTCGGAGAAACGTTTTTTTTGTAACCTTTAAATAACATTCTAACATTTTGTAACCTTTAAATAACATTCTAACATTTTGTAACCTTTAAATAACATTCTAACATTTTGTAACCTTTAAATAACATTCTAATCTCGTCAAGAAAACGATACATTTGAAAGTTTTTAGAATAGTAAAAATAAACATTCAAATAACGCTACATTTTAGGTGAAAATATAGTTATAGTAGAATGGTATAAGAAACGGTTTTTTTGTAACCTTTAAATAACATTCTAACATTTTGTAACCTTTAAATAACATTCTAATCTCGTCAAGAAAACAATACATTTTAACGTTCTTAGAATATTCAAAATAAACATTCAAATAACGCTACATTTTAGGTGAAAATAAAGTTATGGTAGAATGTTATAA